ATATTCAGACGTCCTCCATCTTCGTCAGACCACTCTGATAAGTCACCAACCAGTCCCCAGCAAAGTCAAGCTCAGGCAGCTTAATCTCCGGATTCCTCCTATTGATACCCCTCGCGAACAGCACCCTCGCGTACGCCGGATCAAACACAAACACCGTCTCCCCCATCGCGCTATTCCTCACTTCCGCCGTCGCTTCAATCTCGTCAATAGCGATGACCTCCTCCGGCCCTACCATCACAGTCGCCCACTCGATTTGCGCTTTTATGTGCTCCGCGACACTGGCTTCGAACCGGGTGTCGATGAAGTACAAGCTGTTCTTGCCCGCCGCTGCGACGTAGGGGGTATCCGGCGCCACGATCTGCGGACCGTGCCAGGCTTCGATGAAGTTTGGGACGTAGCTGCCGCGGTATTCTTCTTGGAAGGTTGGAGTGCCCTCGCATAGCCAGGAGGGACTGAGGAGCATGGTTATGAGGGGCGTGCAGAGCATGCTCGGTTGGTATGGGGTTTCTCGTGAGGTTTTGGGTGTCGGGGCTTGGACGATATCAGAGGATGCGTGATAGTTTTACATATTGTCAGGCTGTATGCCGATCACCTTACATAGGAAGCGGCGCATCGTTGTACGGCAAGGTCGGAAGATGGGCCGAATACGAAAAGTCGGTCGCTTCACATTAGCCAACAGCCAACAGCCAACGACCAACACACGTTTTCGGATGAAGCGGCAAAGCTAGCACCTTTCCAGCAACCTCATTCCGTCTTTGGCTACCTACTTTGATCTGCCGCTGGAAAGACTCTGAGTTTGTTGGAGTCTGTAGAGGACGTAGGGACAGCAGATGACTTTGGACGGTAGTGAGTGAGAACGTATGTCAACAGATGTCTCTCGCTGACACCGCCCGGGGGATATGGGTCGTGGCTTTTCAGTCTTGGTCAGAGTGAGAGCATCATCGAGATCACATTTTACGGCGACCTGAACCACCGACGACTCCACAGCGCGCAGGTATTCATGGCCGGTGATAGAGGACCGGGAGGTAACTTCATCTCCGTCTCGAGGCTCACGGCGAGGACTGCGGAGGGTCTTGCTAATGTGTTACTTACCTTATGGTCAAGGACGTACGAATCGGTGCGTCCGTCGCATGCAATTCGGCCGCTGCGGAAGTGCGTCGCGGGGGCGGAGAACGACGGGAGTCGTCAGTGTCGTCGGACTGTAAGCCCCCAACTGCATGATTGGAGAGTAGAAAGCAACAATTAGATATCAACGACTGTCTGAAACCTTAGAATACTGGATTCATGTCCTCAGAGATAGCAGTCGGACTCGTTCGAGGGATGTTTCTCGGTCCGAATGGGTAGGGGATCAGACGGATCGGACACGGCGTCGCGGTGGCCTCTTTTGCCAGACCAAGTCCACAGTTGCCTGGGTGACTATGATAGTGGCTGCAAGGCAGAATAAAGGACTCAGCTTAGGTCCCAAAATCTGGGAACATTCGAGCAAAGATCCTCGAGATATCGCAGAGTCTCCGGCCTGGGCGGCGTGCACCTCTGGGCCCGAGCCGGCAGACCGAACGGATGCGATATGGACAGGAAAGTGGTGGCCTGCGACGTCGGACGGCCCCTACATGGCTGTAGTGGCTGCTTTAACCCGCAAACCTTACACCTTGGGTGAGGGTGAATAGGGTGAGTAGGGTGAAAGTAGGGTTAGTAGAGTTCCCTTTCGGCCCAATATTCAGGCAGAAGATATTGAATTTAGAAAGGCGCCGTAATCAGTACATTAAAGTTGAACGTCGAATCACTTCATTAACGCATAAGGGATAACACCTAGTATGAAGCCAAGCCATGTCTAATTCTTATACCAACTCGATTCAGCTTCTCTTTGCATCTGTAATAAAGATACTGGATGGACAACCTCCGAGGGTAAGTCCAGAAGCTCGATGGCATGAGCATGAGATTCGATGCTCGCAGTAATGAGAGGCTCTGGAATGACTTTGAGGTCATGCCTAGTATTTTGATCGGCAACCCTCTGCCAATTGCGTATCACGCTAGGTTCCAGCTTCCAATTCCATGTTCCTTGCCACCCAATACAAGTATAACGAGACCTTGCGTGGTAGAAGAACTTGAAAGCTTCACCCTTCCGACCATTCCATATTACCATTGTATGTAGGTGTGGAATTGAAAGTGCAGTTATAGCAGCACTTCTTAAGAGATTCTCTATTTTCTTGAGATTCTCTGTTTGGGTGAGTATCCTTGATGTAAGAGTTAGGAATCTCATGTGGCTCCAAACCCAATCTTGTTGACATGACCGGAAGAAGTCCGAAGCTTCAATCATAAATGTAACGGAGAGCTGCTCGAGACTAAGACTCCTCTTGGCAAAAGCAGCACTGACCGCAGGTGATGCGACCCGGATTACATCAGGTGCGGTGTGTGGTATGGTAGGTCGAAACGAGGTAATATATGCTTCGTTGGTCTCTTCAAAAACTGATATTCTCTTCAGTGCTTTTGGTAAATGGGATTCGATAAGCTTTACGTACTCTGTAGCGTAATTCGTTAGTACCTAGGTATAATATATAACTAATCAAATATTATATCTTACCGAAATCCCAAATAAAGTCTTGTGCTGTCTTATCCCAACTTTGCCATGGCTCATAGATTAATGATTGTAATCGAGGAAGTTTATCGAGCAGAGACCCTAGCACTTTAGGTTGAATCTTTCTTCGACATTGTCGGCGAAGTACAAATCGTGTTACCGCTTTGACTTGAGGGAGGCCTTCCTTGAATGTCAAATAGAGAGGCTGAAACATTCGTAAAAAGGCATTTCCATTGGGGGCATCGACCTGACGTCCATTAATCCAGCCATGTTGAAGATCGTGAAATGAATGCTTTGAGTCGAGGTGCGGTAACCGATGACCAGGCCGGTCGAATCTCAAATCCTCATCCTCGCCAACACCTCCAAAATAGAGGTTCTTAAAGCAGTGCTCCTTATCGCTAGGAGACTGGACGCTCAACTCCAGTGTCAGCTCGGCTCCCTCTACCACTGGCCACCGAGACAAGATCGAAAAAAGCTTCGCAATTGCTAGTCTAGCCACGCGGCCATCTCCACAAGCCCATGAATAACTTTCAGGGGACTGACAACTTCGACATGTATATGGCTTTAGCTCAATATTCAGCCAGATATGTCTAACAAGCTGTGCTTGTTTTACGCTAATCATAGCTTCTAGATCAGCTAGACAGGAAACTTGTAACTTCGGCTGGCGGAAGCTTTCCTTCTCTAGTATAGCCTGCCACTCCCTACAAACGGAAGCGCAGGCGCCCCAACCAGAAGTTTGTCGTGCAATAGTTTGAAGTATCATCTGCCGCAATTCCCATGGTAGAGAACCCCAAGTCGCTACATATGGCGGTATAGTGGTATGCGACTTGGAGCCCGACGTCAGAGCCGGCTGAATCGGCACCGTCATTAGGGATGTCAAGAAGGTACTAAAGGTTCAGCGGTTAGGCAATGAAAACATCGACTGAATGAAATACGGAAAGGGTAAATAACCATGAGAAGGAAACCTGCCGTAGACAATAAACGAATATGTTCTCGAATTTGATGTCTTGACTTGTTTCGTCAAGTTTATGTGTGAAGGTGTGAGATTAAGCAAGTCACTGCTTGTCAGATACGATTTTAAATACTGCCATTGTCAACCTTGCTAGAAATCATCGTCTACCAAGGTCGACGAAAAGCTAGAGTTTATAGTTTCTAGGTTACTGTTATGGATAGGCAGAAAAGAGTACTAGGTAATTTACGGTGTTCGAAGACTACAGGGTTGCCCAAACACCTTGTGAGGGCAGGGCACTACTTACTTCTGTGCATCAATTGTTTATGGACTTTCAAACAAATGGGATGACATATACAGCAATCATCATGTGGCTTTTGTGGTTGATGTTGGTATCTCTGGCCCAAGTCGGCAGGAGATCGGACACATCCGACCGGCGACGCGGGGACATGGTAGTCGACGTCGTCAGGCTTCATGTCCTAATTTGGATCGCTCTAGCATTAGTTGAAGAGCAAAAAGACCAGGAGTGTTGAATTTCCCCCAAACACATCCAAGGTCAGTATCGATTCTCTCAAATGAGCTGTGGTGTCGTCTCACGGCTGCATTCCTGTCGGCACGGATCGGCAGGAGATGGGACGGACCCGACACGGGGAAGCGGGGCCGGTCGGCGGACGGAGGCAGGCCGACCATCGACTGGAATTCACGAATTAAAGATGACACGAGCCAAGCTCAACTAGTCCCAGCCTTCTTATTATCCGGCCCTCCAAAATCCTTCGAATATTTGGTCGTGACAGACTCATCACATCTTACGCAGCACCTCCACAGCAAGCTGTTCGACTTGCCAAGGCCATTTACAACCCCTCCGAAGACGCCGCCGCCTCCTCGCCAGCCACAACTACGATGCCATCCCACGATGCACAGATCGGCAAACCTTCGCAACGAACCGTACCGAGGCATCGATACATCCGGCCAGCTGAATCACTCTTGGCAGCGTGAATCCCTCGTAAAGACTGACCCTCCACTGAAAACAACCGCCGTCGCCACTGCAAGAGGAGCGATCTTCCCAAGAGACCTCGTCGCACGGCATCCCACATCTATCACAACAGTCCGATACGTGCGAAACATGGTTAAGTATCGCGGGATTTATATCCGGCGTCACTCTCCTAACCCACATCTGTCACAGTCAATGTTGTGATGGCTCCCAAACTGGAAGTGTCATGTCAATCCTCCCTTCGGGGCACAGGCGCAACTGAGACACGAGGCTAAATCAACCAGTCCTCAAAGGCTCAGCCCGTCCTTGCGGGGGAATGTTCGTGGAGACAACCGTACCCCGTATTCCCACTTGTTGGTGTTCCCGTGTGTCCCCGAACCCCAAAAGTGGCAGGCTGTCGTGGCGGTGGTGGTTGTCCCACCGCGGACTGGAATTCGGGATAGATGAGGCACCAAGACAACCCATCTGACCGCATTCCAGACGACAGCCATGTCAATTTCATACATCAACAACCAACGGTCCGCCGTTTTGTAAAGTCAGATAGCCTTTTCCTCCTAGCTGCTCACCCTCCAACTCTCTCAGGTTCTCAACTCAACGCACCGGACACGCGTAGACTGTAGACAGCAGACGTCCATAGTCGCAAACCTCACCCAAGATACCACACAAGATATCACCCAAACCCTCACCAACAGCCTCACGATGCGCATCAACACCCTCCTCGCCATCCTCGGCACAACAGCCCTCGCCGCCGCAGACGCGCCAGCCGTAACACCCTTCCTCACACAGCCAGGATCCCAACCAACGACCCTCGTCCCACAACCATCCTCCTCCTCGGCCGCGGCCCCAGCAGTCCCCTTACCACCAGCATCCTCCGCAGGATCTCCCCTCTCTTCCTCGCCGCCATCCCCACCGTCATCAAACAACTCCTCCTCCTCCTCCGCCGGCGCAGCAACCCTCTCAACAACAACGACATCCCGCCCCGGCGGAACCCGCACAATCTCCCTCGCCCCCGTAAAGACAAACATCTACCAAGAGTGCGGCGGCCTCCGACCCACGCCCAACCCGTGCCCCGCCAGCTTCGAGTGCATCGACGACCCCTTCCGCAAAGGTTGCGGCCTGGCGTGCGATCAGACCGGTATCTGCGTCGTGCCCATCATGTGCGGCGGCATCGCGGCCATCAAGTGCCCCGCGGGCAAGTGGTGCGTTGATGATCCAAGAGACGACTGTCACCCGCTTCAGGGGGGTGCCGACTGTGCTGGGCTTTGCGTTTGATTTCATGGGGGCGTGGAAAAGTGAAAGAGACGGAGGGAGAGATGGGATACCTAATAGTTGGAGAGATTGTTGAATTGTCATCTGAATAGGCGTTGTTGGGAGGACTGCTCTTCCGCCGTATGGAACATTTTCTTTGTAACTGTTTGCTTATCATGAGGTAGTGAGTTATAATTCATACATACCTTTCACTCCTGTCAGTTTCCAGACGTTCTCATGATGAAAAGGTGAAGGAAGGCTCGGTGAGCTTGACGAGGCCCGTGATGCTTTCCCGCAGACCCTCGGTGAGGATGGTAGGAAGTCGAGACCAAACAGGTTGACAGACACAAGAAGGAAACACCAAGGTCGACTGCCATCCCTCCAGGTGGTGTCAAGGAAGCCGCCGTGTCTTCCAAGGTTTCCTGCCGTCCCGTGGCGATGGAGGTTTTCGCAGACCGCCCATAGACCAAACCTTCCCCCTCGTCAAGAGCATCGAGTCATCTCCGTTGCCCAACTCGCTGTCATATCTTCCCTCTCGCTCTTCATGTTCATCGATCTCAACCGAATCAATCATCAGCAACAACGCATCAACAACATCACTTAGACCACAAGACCTACCGCGAAAATGTGCGTCAGAACGATAAATTACTACTGGTGCGGTCACACGAGCGACTTCACAAAAGTCTGCGAACGCACCTTCGACAACTGCCCGTTTTCAATCACCCCAACGAAATGCGCAAACCCCACTCTTGTCGAAAAGACAGTCCGGGACGTCTGTCCTGCCATGGCGTGCAAGTACGAGCAACAGGACAAGCGATGGATCTGCCATGTGTGCGATATGGATAACGAGAACTCCATGACGTGCGAAGGTCAAGGTTGTGACCATAGCTTCTGCGGGGGATGCTGTCCTTGTGAGTACTTCGTAGAGAGGTTATGGGGACGCGAGCTGACTTTGTTCGATAGGGGAGTCTTCCTTGGCAAATATTCCGCACAGAACTCCCGAGGAAATGAAACGGGCGGAGCTTCGAGCTATGGGGCGCGATCCAGACACACAATTTCAGTCAACTCTTCAGTCTCCGTTGTCTGTTCCGTCCCAGTCATCTGCCGAGACTCTGTCAACCGTCCAGACTCTGTCAACTCAGTTGACTGCTCCAAGTCAACTGACTGAGCCGACTCAACAGGCTGAGCCCGCCGAACGCCCCGAGAACATCAAACCGCCAAAGTCCCGCTGCGAAGGTTGCTCCATCTGCATAGTTCCGGACGCGCCATCGAGACCGCGACAACCCAAATCGAAGGCGCCGCAGCCCAGACCTTCCAAGGTCCCGGTCTACGACTCCGGAGCGGGAGACTGGGTCCGGCGGCCTGACAAAAGAGGTAGGATAAGCCTCAAGAGGGAAGACACAAGTACCATGGGAGTCGGTGGAAGGCAGTCAAAGCTATTGGCAATGGTCGAGGAACTAAATGGTCAAAACTGAAGGGTCAAAGAAACTAGATTAGACTAGGCCAGGCCGAAAGGCCAGCCTTTCTATTCGCGTCTGGGGGGGTTTCTCTCAAAAGTCTATCGGTCATGGCTCTATAGCGGTAGTAAAGTAAATACGCAAAAGAAGAAAGAGAACACAAGTAACAATCAAGCAGACAGTTTATTTACCGCCTGAGAAAGATACGACGGCCCACTTGCCGCTCCAAGCCCACTTTCGTGAGCCAGAATCGCCGCCGCCGCCCTCGAGGGCCAGCAGCTTCTCGTCCTCGCCAGGCTGGAGGCCGACGACGACATCGGCCTTGCACGTGCGGAGGGCCAGGATGTTGAGGCCGGATCCGGGGCCGAGGTTCTTGAGGGCTTCCGTGAAGGGTGTGGCAGCATCCCAGTTGGCCTAGTAGTCATTAGCATCATAGCCACTTTGTTAAGTAGAACGTGGTACTCACATCACCAGTCAGCTTGCGGTAGTTGAGATCACCCTTGAAGATGACAACCTCGCTGGCCTTGAGGTCCTCGTACAGCTCCTTGGCCTCCTCGGGCAATTGCCAAAAGGGACCGGGGTGCGTCCAGTAGCGGTTGGGGCGGAGGATGAGCTGTCCCTCGGCGTGGAACTGGCTCCACTCCTGGAAAAGGAACGCCAGGCTCTCTGAATCCGTGGCCGAAAGAGGCTCGGGGGTCTTGCCTTGGAGCTCCTCCTCTTCGGAGGGTGTCTCGTAGAAGCGCTTGGGGCTGGCGATGGCGCTGAGGAGCTGGGCAAAGTCACCCGGGAGCACGTCAGACACGAACCACGGGATGGACTTGGGGTGCAAGACGACGTTGGTGGCCAGGCCGGCTGACAAAAGGTATCCGGCGAGGATGAGGTCGACGTAGAGCTCGAAACCGGCGTTGTCGAGCACAATGTCGACGCGGCGCTCAGCCTTGCCCTCGGCCTTGGCCTTCTTCAGGAGCTCGTAGACGGCGGGGAGATCGTTGACGACAATGTTCTTCTCGGACGCCTTGCGAGCCTCGGAGCCCTGCAGCTTCTGGATGTCCTCGTAGGTCAAGCTCGTCAGGAGGGACAGGTCGGTGGCGTTACCCCAGAGGCAGATTTCGCACATTTCGGTGAAGAGCAGCTTCTCGGCGGCCTCGTCCTGGGCGGCGCCCTTGTTCTTGTGGAGCTGCTCGACGAGCTCCTTGTACTTTGACGCCAGCTCGACCACGGCGGGGCGGGAGGATCTGAATGTGCTCATCTTTTGGCGGGCAAAGACGTCGTAATTCTTCCAGTGGGTGGACCGGGCAAAGTGCGTGCTGATGCGTCTGTTGCTGTTAGCACGTGTTTGGCAAGGGGTTTGTACTGTGTAGAATACCTGAAGAGGTAGCACTCGGTGTAGAGCCACGGCACGTTCAGCCATGTGGGAGAGCCGAGCTTCTTGAGCTCCTCGTTGTAGATGCTCACGTCGGGGTATCCATCATCTTCGATCGGTCTGGTACGGGAAGTATAGTCAGCAACAATGGTACTGGAGGTGTCGATGAAGAGCCGTACGTCAGTGCCCGGTCGTGCTGAACCTCGTATTTGATCTTGGCAATCTCCTCGATGATCTTCTTGCCCTCGGCTTCCTTCTCGGCGTCCTTTGTCTGGGTGACGGATCGGTAGAGGTCGTCGATGGCTTGGGTCTGCAGGGTAGCTGTCAGCAAGATGTTGGTTGTCAAGAAGGATGCCAAGTATGTACAATGATGACAGGCCAGCGCTCGCGAGCAGTGACCCAGCCAAAGGAGGTCTTGTCGCCGGTCGAGTAGGGAGCTGTGAATTACGTGGTGATTGATTAGCTTGGTGCGAGGTTTGTGGTGATGGCTGGAGACGCCAATGGCGGGGAGAAACCTACCAGGCATCTTGGATCTGGAGAAGGGATTGGGTATCTAGAGAGTCGAGCAGAGGTTGACCGAAAAGAAGATGCAATTCAGAGATACCTAGAGAGAGAGAGGAAAGCAGCGAGATTATCAGATTATCTCGAGAGATTTTTGTTTGCGACGACGTGTCTCATCTTTTTTGGGTGCCAAAACGCCGACCGCCCGAGTTTCTGTGACAAAACGGCAGCAGCTCCCCGCCATGGTGGGGCAGGGGCTGCGTGCACGGCTCTTTCCTTCCAGGTTAGCGCGGGGCACATCCCCGATACAGAAATATCGAGCGAAATGACGTAAGCCCCTGGTTTCGGATAAACGTATTCACCTATCCATATCAGTCACTTAGAGGCAACTGATTGCTTATCTCATCACATCCAGCTCCTGTTCACTCATCGTCGTTCATCCTCATCTCTCATCTCACAAATCTCACCAACATGACCATTTGTCCATCTTGTTTGGCTATATCTCTTACAGGATTGAGATTGAATAAAGCAAACTTCCCGCCCAAACTCAATCGTCCAACAAACTCTCCCTAAAATAGACATGGCAGGTGCCACGGCACGTGCCGCTCCTCGGTTCGCCCCCGTCGAGAATTGTCGCGGCCGTTTCAGTCCTTGGTTCCAGACTCTTCAGAATGGGCCTTGTACGCGCCATCATAAGAGTTCATACATTTCATCAAGTCCAATTATGATTCAGGTGATAGGATACTCACTATAGTCCCCATGGACGGTCAATATGTAAGGGCGCGCGATGGCCTCCTGTGAATTGGTCTAGCACCAATACATTGGTGGAAAAGGCGCCATTCGCATGGATTTGACTACAATGAGGAAAAAGTCCATGATGGATTCTTTGTTGGAGAAAGTAGAATGTACACATCTTGACTCTCTACGTTGATTGCACTGCGGTAGCCAGGCCCAACAGCCGAGCCTAGAGTCAGGATCATCCAGTCAGTGACATATCGAGATGACAACTTTACCATCGTCAAGAGTATCAGTTCGTCCATTATAAGTTCCTCCTCTCAATGCATTTGCTTTCGCGCTGTCTTAGTCTGCGCTTCACGGAAGTACATCAATCAAGCGTCATAGACTCAAACAATAAAGCTAGTCGCGGCTGTCTTACGACATCTCGAGTTGTGAGAAAAGCAGACCAAATGTGCGGGGCGCTCCAAGGCAACTACAATCACTGACTTTGGAACGAGAAACCCGATCAGAAACAAATGTATAAGAAAAGCTATATCATGGAATACTCATGTTCGCCAAATGCCATCATCGGTCGGTTGTAATGCTGTAATGTTGTCAAGTTGTCAACTAATCAATTACATCAAACCCCACAGGACCCCAGGACCCCAGAATTACCCCGGCCTCTCCGGACGTCTCTCCAGCCTCAGAGGAAATATTGCGGGGGGTACACGCCTCGCTCTCCCTTCCACATGGGCTCTCTATTCATGCATGTCTATGCTGCATGTTGCGTCTGGAGCCAAGTCTTGCGTGTCTGTCACTGCGGGACTACCCGCCTTCGAAGGTTACCTTGCATGAGCAATGTCTCGAACCACATTCATCTCATCTGCCGTCTATGGGTCCTAAGAGTCACGGATACTCATCCTTGGGAGGCTAATGACCCAGCATTGCGGTTCTTCCACGTGTCATACGCACTTCGGATGGCTGCCGATCTACACGTCCACTCTGTCGAAACCGTGGGATCGACCATCGCCAGAGACCGCTTTTCCAATTTGACGTTGGGATTTGAGAAAAGCGTAAATTTCCTCCTGCATGTCTTCAGTTCGTCTTTGTGGTTTCTGAACGATGTTGGACCAACCCAGTCTTATAAATAATGGTAGTTGAGAACGTACGATCTGTAGACACTGTCGAGATATGTTTCCACCCCTATGTCGTTCAAGAATCACAATATTCGATCATTTTCGCATGTGTTCTTTGATAGAGTCGACGTGCCTAAACGGCAACATCGTGGCATCCGGCGCGGGAGAACTTTGATCGAGTCTACGCCCCTTCAGCTAAACCACTTTACCCT